CAGATTAATTTGTCTTTTATTATCGATTGTCTCCTCAATATTTTTGCTTTTTTTTTTTTTGCAAAATGCTCTTGCATTTTTTTTCTTGTTCAAATACACAAGTGGGTCAGATCATGTTTTTTCTCTGCTCAAAATCATTTTTGGAGTTGTTCTCCAGTGGTAAGTGAATAAAACACCAACTCCTTAGCTCAGTACACACTGCCTTCCACTTCTGCTCCCAGCCTGTCATTACAGTCTTATCACATACTATTGCCCTTCATGCCTTCAATTTTCTAGCCAGAGTAATCTACTGGCTGTTCATGACCATGGGTTATCCTGCTGCATTTACACAAGGCTCCCTCAGACAGACTCAGTCAGACCAAAAACTGTTCCACAGCCAGCTCAAACCAGGAGGGCCAAATTATTTTATTTTATTTTTTGCTTTTTGGCTAGGCAATGGGGTTAAGTGACTTGCCCAGAGTCACACAGCTAGTAATTGAGAAGTGTCTGAGGCTACATTTGAACACAGGTCCTCCTGACTCCAAGGCCGGAGCTCTATCCACTGCGCCACCCAGCTGCCACCAGGAGGGCCAAATGTTAAACTGCATCAAAACACTTCAGAAATGAGCAAATGCTACGAATCAAGGCTTATTGTTTGGTAGATTGTCTAAACTTAAGAAATGGAGAAAATATTAATAATGCAGTTTAAACTAAAAAGCGGCTTCTCCCCCCACCCCGTCCCAGAAAACCAGGTATTAAACATTTACCAGCACACCACTGCCTCGAATACCACCATCTCCATCTGTAGAAATCCTTTTCCCTCAAAGATCAGCCCAGGCACTCTTCATGAAGCCTTCTGTCAGCTCCTCCAAATCTCTCAGTTCATTCAGATCTTGCTGATGCATTTAGTTATATTCTAACTAGTATTATCGCACTAACATTTCTTCCCTTTCCTCTATTAGATTTTGAGCTTCTTGAGGGCAAAGAGTTGTTTCCTTTCTTCTTTGCATCCTCAGGCACCTCCTGTCACAGTGCCTTACACAGAGCAGATGCTCAATAAATGCTTGTTGAATTGAATTCAATTATTTTTCATTCAGTCTCTCATTCTCCCTAATTGCTCTTCTTCTCCACCCACCTCCTCACCTGCTGACTTCCTACATATCCTCACTGCCCTTTATACTCCCTCTATCTCCGATAGTCTAATTCATATTTTTCATCTTTGTACATATCAATAGTTCCCCCCTTTAAGATAACAGAGTAGCCAAGTGGTTCGGTGAATAGAATGATGGGCCTGAAGTCAGGAAGACGAGTTCAAATCTGATGTCAGACACCTAATAGCTATGTGACCCCAAGTCACTTAGCCTCTGGCTATATCAGTTTCCTTAACTATGAAATGGGTATGAAAATAGCACCTACCTTCCAGGATTGTTATGAGAATCAAATATTTGTAAAGTGCTTAGCACAGTGCCTAGTACATAGCAAGTGCTTATAAATGCTTGTTTCCTACAAAAGCAAAGTCACCAAGTTTCATTTACTTCTGTATCTTCCCCATTACATAAACTGCGTGATTTCCATACAGTAGGTACTTAATAAACACTTGTTAAAAGAGTTAATTTGTCCTTTATTATCTATTGTCACCTCATATTTTTGCTTTGCTCTTGCATTTTTTTTTTTGTGGTTCACATCATTTCTCTCAGATGCAATGACATCTCTCCCACTTTCTTTGAGCCTCTATTTAAAATTCACTGACTTAAAATTTTAAACTTCCTTTAAATTTTTAAATTTTAACTTCCAGGGCAGTGCCGCAACACAGTGGATGGAGCACCAGCTCTGGAGTCAGAAAGACCTCAGTTCAAATCTGGCCTCAGACATTTACTAGCTCTGTAACCCTGGGCAAGTCACTTAAACCAACTGTCTCCAAAAGAAATGAACCAAATTTTAACTTCCTTTGATGGAGATTAGTGACTAAAACGGCCTTCATTATATTCCTCCAGACCCTGCTCTTCCTGACACCCTCAGCTCTGTCAATGGTCAGACCATTCACCTAGACATCCACGATCACAAATCTAGAATTGTTTGTGGCTCCTCCTCCATCCCTTCTGCCAAGTCCTGTCACATCCTACGTCCTAATTATCTACCAAATCAATCCCTCCTCATGTTTCCAGCTGCCCTTGGAGATAATCTGGGCTTTTATTATTTTGACTGCCATACACTCCAATATAGATCTTCTCACTTCTAGGCTCTTCCTAGTGATTGAACACAGTGCAACCAGGTTGGGCTTCCTGCACGTACCTAACCAGCTTTATTCATGCTACTTCTAGTCCTGTTCTCTACATTGCAGCCCAACTGGACTGCTTGCTGTGCCCTGAACATGAGCCCGGCTTTCTCACCTCTGTTACTCTGTTGCTTTCCTTGCCCTTGGAATGCCATCCCATGTCCTTTTCTCCACCTGCTGACTTATCTTCCCGGATCTACCCAGTCTTCAAGGTCCAAAATAAATGGACTAAGGTTAAGTCCAAAGACTTAGCCTTCCCTAATTCCTTAAGGGGGAAGTAATTTCTCACCTATCTGATCTCACACGCACTCACATTTGAATTTATATTTTTCTGGGTTTATGCTTTATTTCTTTTATCTGGCCCCCGGTTCTCAGAACACTGAATTGCCCACGGTAGACACCTAATAAATGTTTATCATGGCAAAACTTCAAGTGATCATAGCTAACAATAACACTGTATCTGCAATTTCATCACCATGGCCTGTCAATCCCCTGCCAGAGATGGTGAACCCTCTCTAACTTAGGTCTTTAAGGGTGACTCTTGCCAAACAAGGCATCACCATATAGCCAATAGGTAAAGGAGTTTCTCTGAACTTTGCTAGGCTCATTTTCAGACAACGGACATCATCTTTCTGTGTAGGACCTGCCAGGGTTTAAATTCTGTAGACATAGCTTTTAAGAACCCAGGATCACTTCCATGCCACGTATACAGTTTTAGTGCAGGTTAAATTTTTATAAAATGTCTTCCTCTATATATACCCCCTCCTTGAAGTACCACACCCTCCAAGTCCCAAGGAAATAGAAGCCAAGAGAACGGCTTTCCAAATTTTAAGGTATATGAACACTACTTTCAAGACCCTCCTCAAAATTCCTCTCCTGATTGGCCTTTTATGGTGTGAGATCAAAGCAAAGAGGATGGGAAGGAAGGGGACACACTGTTTATGAATGTAGGCTGTGTCACATTTACATAAGGAGGTTAGAGGATGCAGGGATTTAAAGTAAAAAAGCCTCGGTTTTGGGTCCCAGTTGTATGTCACTTTAAAGCCTCCTTTGGCAAGCGACAACTTTCCTGGGTTTAAGTTTCTTCATCTGTAAAATATGAGGGTTGCTTTAAATGTCCTCTGAAGTTAAGCATCTTAACTTAATCAACTTCACTTTTGTCACTTAAATGTCAATGGACCAAACAATCCTTTCCATTTCGGATATTCTGAGTCTATTCTAAGAACAAGACCAAATCGAGCTCAGCTTCACTTTTGTTTTGTAATTTAAATGACACTGGACCAAATAAAGTCCTTTCTATTTCTACTATTCCCTGACTCTAATGTACTAAGGATGTACTAAGAACAAGATTGAACAAAGCTTAATTTTACTCTTGTTTTGTCATTTCGATGACACTGGACCAAATAAAGTCCTTCCCAATTCTAACATTCCCTGAATCTAGAACAAGACCGAAACAATGGGTGATACCTACTACAGAAAGGGCTAATCGGGAGATAAATTTTGGGGTCTTTAAAGTATTGAACAGGAATTAGTAAATGGCAAAAAGCCTTTCTCTTGTTTCTTTTGCTGATCCTGAGGCTCCAGCCCCACATTTATACAGGTTGAATACCACAGATCTACCTTAATCAATGAGAGAGAGAAAGAGAGAAGGGGGGAAGGAAGAGGGAGAGAGGGGCCCAGGGCACACGTGTTTAAATTCCCAGTTTTCTTTGTTTTCTTTTCTAAATTGTAAGATGAGCCTGATTAGTGGCACTTTCAAAGCATCTCTCCTCTACAGCTCCTCCCCAATTTCTTGGAGATAGCCCTTCTCTGTTTTCTCTTGAATTCATTCATTTTCCTTATGATTGCTGCAGGTACCGGAATGAAATTTCTGCCGGGGTTTTCTCCTTGAGCAGACGGACATGAGGGCCCTTATCAGCCCTCCCCCACCAATGACCCATGACCCAAACTGTCCCCTTGGAACTCCAGCGTGGCTGTTGGTTTTAGAATCCCCAGCGTGACCCTCGACACCTCCTCCCAAGGGGGGGGGGCGGAAACGCCACTCGGCCGCACCCTTTGCTCTCTCTCCATGAATCATTAACGAGCTCCGTCGGGCGAGAGCTTCGGGGGCACTGGGGGGAATCTGAGAAAAGGGAAAACTCTATCTCCAGGGGCGGTGAAACTTTAGCCGGGGAAGCTCCCTCCTGCACCTTCCCTCCCCTCCCCGCGCCCTCGCTCCCTCCCCCCGCCCTCCCTTCCTAGTTCTCCGCGGCCACCGCCGCCGCCGCCGCCGCCGAGCTTGCAGTTACCGCGATGCTCAGTCGCAGCGCTGCAGCGGCGGCGGCAGCAGCAGCATTAGCAGCGGCAGCATCAGCAGTATTCATTAGCAGCAGCATTAGCATTAGCTGCAGCATTAGCTTGCGCGGCGCGCGCCGGCGCCGGGAGCCGGGCCACCAGGAAGGATGCTGAAGACGGAGAAGAGATAAATCCCCGGCAAGCGCGGCCCTTCTCCGCCCCCCCCGCCCCCGCCCCCGCCGCCTCTCCCCACCCCCTCAAAGAGCCCGCCCGCCACCGCCTGCCCCCGCAGACGACAATAGCAGCTCGGGCTGAGCTGCGCTGCGGCAGCACTGACTGCTCGCTGCCCTTGCCTGGCGCGGCTGCCGGGAACCTCAGGTATTGTTCACCTGCATTAGCAGAGACGGCCGGGGTCGGGAGGCACCCGGGCGGGGAGGCCGAGAGGAGGCGCCGCGCCCGAGGGGCGGGCAGCATGCCGCTGCGGCTCCAGCCCCGGGGTGCGGGGACAAAGAGCGCCGCGGCGTCCGCCGCCCCTCCGGCCGCCTCCTCGTCGTCCTCCCCAGCGCTGACGGCGGAGGCGACAGCGGCATCGCCTTCGTCCCATGCCTGCTCCACCCCACCGTCGCCGCACCCCGCCCCTCGCGACCCGGCCGCGGAGCCGAAGCCGCTGCTGCGCTGGGACGAGGTGCCCGACGATTTCGTGGAGTGCTTCATCCTGTCGGGCTACCGTCGGCTGCCGTGCACCGCGCAGGAATGCGTCGCGTCGGTGCTCAAGCCCACCAACGAGACGCTCAACTTCTGGACGCACTTTATCCCGCTGCTGCTGTTCCTGAACAAGTTCTGCCGCCTCTTCTTCCTGAGCGGCCGCGATGACCTGCCCTTCCACCACCCGTGGCTGCTGCCGCTCTGGTGCTATGCGTCGGGGGTGCTGCTGACCTTCGCTATGAGCTGCACGGCCCATGTGTTCAGCTGCCTGTCCCTACGCCTGCGTGCCGCCTTCTTCTACCTGGACTACGCCTCCATCAGCTACTACGGCTTCGGCAGCACCGTGGCCTACTACTACTACCTGCTGCCGGGGCTCAGCCTGCTCGACGCCAGCGTCATGACCCCCTACCTGCAGCAGCGGCTGGGCTGGCACGTGGACTGCACGCGGCTCATCGCGGCCTACCGCGCGCTTGTGCTGCCCGTGGCCTTCGTGCTGGCCGTGGCGTGCACCGTGGCGTGCTGCAAGAGCCGCAGCGACTGGTGCACGTACCCGTTCGCGCTGCGCACCTTCGTGTTTGTCATGCCGCTGAGCATGGCCTGCCCCATCATGCTGGAGAGCTGGCTCTTCGACTTGCGCGGGGAGAACCCCACGCTCTTCGTGCACTTCTACCGCCGCTACTTCTGGCTGGTGGTGGCCGCCTTCTTCAACGTGAGCAAGATCCCTGAGCGCATCCAGCCGGGCCTCTTCGACATCATCGGCCACAGCCACCAGCTCTTCCACATCTTCACCTTCTTGAGCATTTACGACCAGATGCACTACGTCGAGGAGGGGCTGCGGCAGTTCCTCGAGGCGCCGCCCTCCTCGCCCACCTTCTTGGGCACGGTGGGCTACATGATCCTCTTGGTGGTCTGCCTGGGCTTGGTCATCAGGAAGTTCCTCAACGTGTCCGACCTCTGCAAGGAGGACTGAGGCGGAGAGAGACAAGAGAAAAAGAAAAAAGAGAGACGACTGCTCCACCCGGCAGGTGGTCGGGCCAACCCTCCTGGCCCTGGGTTGGGAGTTTTGGTTTGGGGCTTCTTGGTCTGTCAGGTTTGGCTTCGTTTCCTTTCCTCTGCTGCAAAACCATAGAGGGTAGGAGAGGAGAATTCCCCCATCGTTGGACCCCAAGCCCCTCACCCAAGGGTTTGCATGGCCATTAAGTGACCCAGAGAGGGGGAGAGCAGGAGGGCAAGAGGAAGCAATCTAGTGACCCTAGGCCGCTGGGGGAAATAAATGTTCATGTTATGGCTCAGGAAAAAAAAAAAGCACGCATACACACACACACACACACACACACACACACACACACACAGAGAAAGAAATGATAGCCTTGTGATTTCCGGGGGTCATTGGGATTTTATCTTTTCTTTAAACGCACAACTTATTTTTAGGAAAGGGCCAGGGAGTGCTAGTCCCCTGGATTGGGATCACTTAAGAAGTAAAGCAGGGTCGATGATCATTTTAAAACCCACTATAGTTTGAACCCTCTTGGGCTCTATAAGAAGAGTACTCTTTGTTGAAAAGGAGCCCAGTAACTTAATTAACCCTGATGTTTTAATCTGCTAGAAAATGCATGGAAATGTGAACACAAGTTTAATTATTTCAATGTGTTGATGAATTGTTATTTAAATAATATATATATTATGCACATATAATATATATATGCAATGATTATTTCATATGTTTTTTTAATCAGCTGTGTGGAAATATTTTCAGAATAAGCACTTGAAGTTTTCTTTTTGGGGAAGTTGGGAGGGGGTAATTGTATTTTGAAATCTCAGCCCTTCTGCATTATATACACTGGAATTGGGTTGGAAGGCAAATTGATTGAGAGCTATTGCCTTTTTATAGTGTTTTTCTCGAGGACCACGTGTATGTGTGATGATATAGCTGTGAATTATTCTCCCATAGAGAATGTGATCCAAGTATGGGAGAAAAGCTAGAAAACCACTGTTTGTATAACTTGGAATGCTGGACATCCTCTCACTCATTCAGTTTTTGCTTGGTCCCTATCTGATAGGGCTACACAAATCCCACTTTGACTATTTTCATCTTTATCCTCCTTAATTCAGTTGCCACTGGATAAATGTGCCTTTTGAAGCAGTGCCCAAATGGCTGGTCCTCAAACTGGATGGATCTGTTTGCCTAGCTGTAGGAGGAAGCCTTGCTTGGGTGGTTACTGCAAATCAAGGTTTAATATTTCATCCATGAATGAAGAAAGATGGGGCTGGTTGTGATTTTTGTGGTATGGATTGCTTGCTCAGTCTTATCTTCTGAAATACTCTGGATGTAGAGTTATGCATGTAAATGCAACCAAGATTGCTGGTGCCACCATTATTCCTGACAAGCAGCCTTGGGGAAGAACCAATGAGAGTGTTTCAAATTGATGCAACCCTTTGTTTTAAAAATTCAGTAAGGGAAGACATAATTAAATCCCAGCTATCAGGAGACAGACTCCATCAGCTATAATTGAGAAATTTGAGTTAAAATAGGATTTAGCTTTGTGATGGGAGGTCAGCTGCCCACTTGCTGTCATCAGACGTTCAGATCTTTAGGGGATAGGTCAGTCTTAGGAAATTACTAATGGTGCCCTCTTCAGTCATTTGGAAAGTTCCTATACTTGACTTATACTAACAGTTCAGGTTGGCCTATCTTTTTGGGGACATTTTTGCCTAATCATTTTTGTACTTGAGCACAATCTAGTGGGGCTATTCAGATACTTCTCAAAGGTCAACTAGGTGACTTGAAATGGGGAGGGGGAAGGGTATTTGAATTGTAGCATCATTATGGCGTTATAGACATGCGCCAAGCAGGAAAAATAGAGAGAGGAGTGACTTCTTTGGGACTAGAGAGATGGTGCTTTTAAAAGGGGCTAGTACTACTGTTAACAGAGAGGTGTATCACAATTCCCTGGAGGAAATAGCATCCCAGTTGATTTTTGTGTATTTGTTTGCATATGAAAGTTAAATTTATATTTATATATTTATATTTAATGTAGGATCTTTTACTGGAATTCTTTGCAAGAGTATTGATTGAGTACCAGTTCATACTTTGGAAAACTCAAGCAGCATGACCATTAGGCTGCTTGAAAATAATTTGTACCTCCAAGCTCTGTGGGACAGTACCTTTGTATCCAAGGAGCCTGTGGAAATAGCCACTCCTACATGCAAACTTACTTGTTTATGAGTGGTGTCTGTTCTTATACCCCAAGGAATGTTTCTTTGGGGTGCTGAAATTACCCAATGACCCTGATTTTGAGGGGAGCTGTGGCACTGATTCTGAGCTGTCAGTATATAGACTTTTCTTTATTATGTAGACTTCTAAAGGTAGATCCTGTTTTTTTGGGGGGGGAACCTTTTGCACCTTTCAGGTGGTCATCTCCTTAATTGTCAGAGGAGAATATTTAAACCCAAAGACATAACTCCCTACAACCCTCTTTCTCCTCTCTTCTTTGTCCTTATGATAGAGAGGCCACTTAAGGATAAAATTATACCCATATCATTTTCAAGTGATTAATGTTGCGTGAGCCCTGTAAGGTGACACACTTTTCCCTGTGAAAGGTTCAGCTCAAAGTATGTCACTGAGAAAATTCTTCTCTCCTACTTTTTCTTCCTTTCCTCTTTCCTCATTTTCCTTCTTGGTTCAAACTCAGACTTTCTGTAATATGTGTAGGGGAAAAGGGATAGTAAACATTGGAAATGGAATGAATGTTCACTAAACTGACTTCACATTATATGGACGTGTTAGGTACATTTGAGTTATAAGACCAAGAATGATCCATCAAATAATTTTTATATTATTTACTGAGTTTTTTATGGTTTCTGCTAACATAAACAATGGTACAGTAGAATCCATCAATATTGTCTTATTACCTACATTCATGTGGGACTACTACACAGAACAGAAATAACACACCCAAATCAGAAGGTTATTTTTCTGACACAATTTCTTAATTGCCCTTTTACCCTGTCCATTGTTTAAAATGAGTTGATTTTGAAGACTGGTTATGTCTCTACAGCATCTAACCTTAGTATTAGTAGTAAAGTGAAGAACAAGAGACAAAATAAGAAAATCAGTTTTTTTTTAAAATATAGCCTGCATAAATTATTGTAGCAATAGAATGAAGCACATTATATAATCCATTATATTTTTACTTGTTAGTCCTGAACAGGATGCCATTTCAAGGAGCAATGTCACAAAGTCATGACTGGCGTGTAAAAATAAATGTGATATTTTCCATTGGCAACATAACATTTTCTATATATATCCCAGCAGGAGTATATGGTGCTGGCCTGTCCAAAGCTGTGCCTAGAATGTTATTTCCATTCATAAATAGTGCCTGTAAACTGATGATTCATAATGTGTTCTCAATTAAAAAAAAACTTTAGGCCCCGCCAAATCAATATGCTATTTCATGAGAATCATTTCTAGGAAAACAAAATGTTTAAGAATGATGCTAATGGAGATGATTTTTAAAACTTTTTTATTTTTGTGACTTTTTTGCCAGGGGATTAGATGTTGATCAAAGGGGTAACATCAAGCAATAATTAGTAGCACTTTTCATCTCTAGGCTTCTTATTAACTAGTTGGATTAATTTGCACAAAATTACCAGTAAAAGATAATCCATAGTTATTATCTCAACGTTAGGGTCATACAGCTTGTCCAAGCCCACAGGACTACTTTTCCAAACGAATATTTTGAATTTGACATCTTGTGAGTTCCAATTGTGGATTTTATGCACGTGTCAAAATGCTTAGCTATGATTCTTTATCCATTTGTTCAGATACCAAGTAGTTTGTTTTGGTTTTTTTTTTTAAACACTGATTTAAAAATCAGGGACAGCAGTCCATACATACATATAACCATGGTGAATAGGTGACAAAAATCCCCCATAAATATCTCTCTGCTATGTTATTTTATTGTAGACTGCTCCACCCCCCTCCACCCCCTTTAGGGTATACTACTGGCTATGTTTTTTATTCATTCAACAAGCATTTATTGAGCCCCTACTGTGGGCAAAGTCTTGTTTTCACGTGAATTTTCAGGAATCCAGCCATCCTCACTCTTTCTCCACCAATCCCCCCTTTTCACACATTTCTCAGCAAGTTGGTTTTTGGTGCTAATGGCTCTGAAGGACACTTTTACTTACAGTATAGCTAAAACTACACCCTTAACCCAAGCCCACTTTGGTCAGTTAAGCCAGAATGTTTCATGATGCTCACTGGTGTCAGGAATGGGGCATCCTCTACAGCCCTGTTAAAAATTCTGCTTTACCTGAACGCTACAATTCACTCTGGCTTGCAAGCCTCATGTTGCCAGGCCAGTGTACATTTTCACAATTAGAGATCTTGGATGGTTTCATCCAAACGCAGGGATACAGACCAAGGGTACAGACAAACTTTTGAAACTCTAGTTTGAAAAATCCAGTAACCATTCATTTTGATGTTGACAGCGTACCGAGCATTATGTAGTGTGTACTGATTGCCTAAATTGTGTTAATGTTATTTCGGATATGAACTATACGAGCGTACATGGTTTGTGTCCCTCTCTTTTAAGGTTCTTGCCATAAGCTGCCATTGAAAGAAAAAGTCAATCTTCGTGGGGAATTTGGAAAAAAAAACCGGGGATAGATTCTTACTGAAATTAGAAAGCTGCTTAATAAAGAGAACCAGCATTTGGGCTTCAGACACTGGCCAGAAGCGGCTGGTACTACAGAAGGAAGAGCCATGAGCATTTTTGCCTGGATTTTTAAGTTTGTACCCAGAAAATCATGTTGCTGCCTAGATGAACACGCAGGGGTCCTCACTGAAGCACTGTCCCACCACAGTCCACTTCCCCACTGCTCCCCAGTTTGTCTTCTACTTGTTGTGACCAGATTTTATTTTTTGAATCTCTGAGCAAAGTGGGAAATTCAGGGTGCTTATTTTACCAGTGGACAGCCAAGAGAGCTCACTGAGCTACAAGTAGTGGCACTATCTGAACTTTGGATACCAGGATTCTGGGTGCTCTGATTTCCATGTTTGCAGCAGATACCAATAGACGAGCACATGCAGACCATAATCACTCATTTCTATTTACTCTCTGGTTTAAATGGAAGAGACAGTGGTTTATTTTGGTTTGTAGAACTGCTTTATCTGATGTGTTATAATATATCCTCTTCTTTGCAATGCATGAGCCCCCACTGCTGTATGTTTTTGTATAATTTCTCTAAGCCATTCCAGGCATGGCATTTCTCAAGGATACTTAGATTTCTCGAATGTGTAAAAACACCAAGCCGATTTCTTCATGCCTTATAGCACCACTCAACACATGCAATAACCACACAAGTAGGTGCATGTTGTGTCTTACGGATTACTTTAACAATGTTATTCAGAATGTCCTGCTATTAGTGGTATATTATTGAGAGATGGATGACCACTACTGTAAATAAACTTGTTTCTATAGGACATATAATATCCATTTCTCTTTGCAGTTCCCACCTCTTCATAGAAAGAGTAATGTTTTTAATCAGCTAAATGCAAAAAAAAAAATCAATGAAAATAGGGAAATTTTTTTAAAAGAAGTATTTTCATTTTATAAAAAAAATATAAGTTTATAATAGTAATTAGTTTGTGAATAATTCACCTTTACACAGAGGTGAGGCTTAGCTTCTTAAAATGCTCATCTTTGTCCTGGGCATTTAATCACTCAACTCATTTGAATGATAATGACCTATAGGTCAGTGCTTTTTTCTTAAATACTATGTAAATTGTATGTTAGTTAAAGAAGGGTAAACTTACAAAGGAAAAAACTGGGCCAGATTTTGCTCTTTATGTGTAGCAAGACCCAAAAGTCTTTTTTTGTTGTTTTAATTCTGATGGGAAACATCATTGAATTTATCCAACAATCACCACCTCTAGCCAGCCCTCCTTTCTGCCAGTCTTTCATTCTTTCTGGAGGTCATTAATAAAATTATTCCAGACAGGCAACTGAGTTTAAAATAAAATGGTATTAGTAGAGAGGCACACTCCATTTTCATGGTTCCTATAGGCACAATTAATGATGTAGCCAGACAAAACTGACTGGCCAGGGTCATTCCACTGGTATTGCTGACTTCTACATTTCTGGAGCCTCCTCTTGTGAGGGTGGGAAGTAGGGAGAAAGGGGAGTTAGGAAACATCCAATATGTGTTTTGACTTCCTCTATTTTTGAGATGGAAGTGACACTGAAGTTGCATTGCTTCCATTAACCATGTAAGAGCTCCTATCCCTGAAAACTGCCTTCCATGGTGGCATTCATTCACATCTGGTGGGGAAGCCCTTGAAATGCATAGCTCTATTCAACTCTGAAGGCAAATCATGATGGGCGACTCAAGGGCTTGGATGATAAGTATTTGGGCCTTTAAAAAAAACCATCTCTAAACTAAGACCTTAACTAGGATTGCCATTCTAGACTTTAGAAGTAAGAATGTACAACCAGCATGCACCCCTTTTTATAGTAAGGGGATTAATTGAAGGGCCACTGTTCATCTTTTCTCAGGTGACATACAGGATGGGGGGTGGGATGGGAGTGGGGGGGCTTTGATAATGACCAAATAATACAGACCTCCATATTTCAGTATTTTTTTTTAGCACATTTTGATTTTCATTACAGAGGAGGATGGGGGTATGGGTAAAGGTTGAGGCAGGCATGAAGAGAGAAATTGATTTTTTTCCCCATTCCTTGCTAGATGACCATAATTTTTCCTGGGGAAACCCCTGACTCTAGCCATCAAAAAATCTAGTAAATTTCGCCCTAAAGGGCCATGTTTAACTAACTGGGAAAGACCTCTCAGGATGTTTGAAGTTGTCTTACAAGTGGTCTGTGATGCTATTCCAAATCAGTAGTGTGTAAAGGCAGATCATTAATCACAACTCTTTTTTAATCCAATGAATTACATGCACCCATCTATAGAAATAGATGTTACTTTGGTCAGTTTTGTGCATGCAAAAGCAAGACAAAATTGTGAGTCATTTCTGTTTTTTGGTTTGCTTTCATTTTGTGTTCTGAGAAATTTGTTCTTTGTGGTCTTGAATGCTGAAATCTGTTAAAAAAAACTATGCATTTTTAGCTGAAAGACAAATGTATGAATAAAGTTGTTTCTAAGCATAATATTTAAAGAGTTCATTTGTATGCTGCAATATTCATTCAGGAAAAAAAAATTGTTCTGTTAGCCTGAGATTATCCAGGAATTAATGAGAATCTAGCATGAGTAACTACATTCAGAAAGATTCTGCAGAAAATCATTGTTCGAGTTACGGCAATGAGGAAGAAATATGTGTACTTAGATAATCTTAATGACTGTCTATTATGGAACATAGGATTATAAATATAGACCTGGATGAGGAAACTGAAGCCCAGACAGGTTAAACAAGGTCACTAGGATTTGAACTCAAGGCCTTTGACTTAATATCCAGGGTTCTTTCCACCGTACGAGAATATCTCCATTAAAAGCTTATCTAAAGGGAAAATCAGTCTGTGCTAACCTTTAAACTCAGTTAATAAAACATTGCCATGTACTAGGTTTTCACTTATTTTGAAGGGCATGTAAGGTACATAGGGTTACGTGGGGGCCATGGGCATGGGCTGTATAGCCCTGAGTTACCTGTGTATGCAAAAGGTGTCCCCTTTCCCTCTCCTCCCATTGACTTTAGAGCTTAAATACTATTAAATCATTTAGCATGCTTCTCATTTCTAAATTTAATTCCAAAGCTTCTAGGTTTCTGTAGGTATGGTTTGTAAATAATATTCTTTTGTTATGGTGGGAAAGAAAGTGCAAAGAAGCTAAAATTTTAGCCCATGTTGCTTCCCCCAGCCCCCCAATTCAAGGGGATTTTTGTCCTATCGAAGAACCCAAGGCAGTCCTGCATATCGGGTGGTCCTGAGGATAGTGAAATGAGGCCACAGTTCTGCATGTCAAATGGTCCTGGGGATAGTGAGAGGAGGCCACAGTGTAATCGATCACCAGGCATAGCTGTATAATAATGAAGGCTGTTGTTTTTTTCCATGTCAAACACTACATTTCCATGTTAAGGACCAGAATGAGTGGATTAGAAATTCAATAAGAACCATTGATGAGAAAAGCAATTGTCACTCAGGACAAGGAGTGAGTCAGTCTACAATAAATTTCCCAGAGTTACATGAACAGCTAGAGATAGATATGAAATCTATAGGCTACACATACACACACACACACATACACACACAGTTAATTTTAGATGATCAGAGTGGCATTATGATTCCATCTAACCATCTGAATGGGTTAGAAGGCCTTAGGAAAAAATAATTCTAACCAAAGCATTTCATATGTAAAACCACATATACTTTAGAAATTTAATTCTGTTAAGTGTTTGGGCAGGTCCTCTGAGTAATTACCTTCGTGATTATCATTGTTTTCCGAGAACTAAGCTCATGGAATTTCTACCCTGTATGTTTATAGTATTTTCAGTCACCAAATGTTAATCCCTATGGCAAAATTGGAGAGATATGAAAATTTTATAATCCACAAATATAGGTTACATCAACATGTATTTTTGGAATCTGCAGATTCATATCCCTTTAACATGATATAAATGGTATTGATTCTAGGAGCCTTTGTTCTACCCAATCATTTCAGAAAATAATTTTTAAAATTTCCTCCCAGTGCTACCTCTCCTTTTCTATAATAATAATAACAGCAGCAGTAATAATAATAGCTAACAACATAGCACTTACTGTGTGCCAGGCACTATGCACAGAATCTCATTCGATCCTTACAATGACCCTGGGGAGTAGGTGCTATTATCCCCATTTTACAGATGAGGAAACAGATAAACAGAGGCTGAGTCTTTTTTGCCACTACCACTACTTTTTTTTTTCTATTTCAAAACAGTGACCCAACTGTCTTTGCAGAAGTCTGTCTAACCAGAACGTGCTTTATCATGGAAAATAATGGGTTTAATTTAAGAAGTTGCTATCAGCTAGTTTTGGCAGGTAGCATAGTGGGTAAATTGATGGGCTTAGAGTCAGGAAGATCTGAGTTCAACTCCAGTCTCAGATGCTAGCTACACGACCTTGGGCAAGTCACTTAACCTCTGTCTCAGTTTCCTTATCTGTAAAATAGGGATAATGATAACACCTACCTCCCAGGGTTGGTGTGAGGATCAAATTAGGTAATATTTGCAAAGTGCCTGGCACATAGTAATTACTATATTAATGTTATCACAGTAATAACACCAATGTACATTAATATAAATAACATTCATTGTAGCATTAATATAGCACTAATAATTATAACAAATGTTAATATAATTAGTGTCAACAACACTTATAACATTAACATAGCCCTTACTGTGTGCCAGGTGCTTTACAAATATCTAGTTTATTATTATTGTTATTATTATTATTATTGGAAAGGGGAGCTAGCCAGCACTCTTCCTCCTCCCCAACATCTTCCCACTGGTCTTTCTCTTTCTCTGACTCTCCTTCCTACCAACCTTGAGTTAAGGTTACAGGTTCCCCAGTTCCTTTCTACCTGGCAACAAAAGTGATGAAGCCCTGAACTTATTTGTTAGGAAAAGGTGGAAAAAAAAAACCCAACCAATACAAACATTAGAGTCCAAACATTTGCCAGTTATCTCCATTCTCTCATAAAAACACAAAAACAGCTTCCTAAATCATGGGAACTCTTGAAGAAGTCAAGGAATTTCAGAAGGAAAGGGATTTTAGGAAGCTTAGATTACTGAATTTGGCATTGTTCTTTGGGAAATGGGGCCAAAAAATCTTAAGATTAATAAAAGCTACCAAGAGTGGTACCAGGTTCCAGATATTCACATGATGTCCTTCCCTTCCCCCAATACCGTTTGGAATGAAACCAGGGAGAAAAGAGGGAGCCCCCAGAGAGAAGGGACCCTAAGAGTAAATCTGCTACTAGAAATATGTGAAGAATTAAAATCTTAGATGACCCCAACAGCCTCTTTTCAGCCCTCAGTTCCATTCTTCAAACTATTGTCTCATCCCTATTGATGTATGAATCTGTTCTGACAGCAACCTGTCACTGCCAGAAAGAACCAAAAATAAATTATTTGGGTCATGCACTTATGTTATTCTGTAATGAACCTGGTTAGAAAACAAAAGGAAACCTGTTCATTAGATTTAAAGGAAAAGCTACCGGTTAGACAACCCTAACACAACTATGGACTGCTCACAACAAGACCTTCTTGCTCTTATGAAAAAAGAGATTTGTTTTTTCTCCCAATCCTTTCCTGTTTACCACTTCTGCTTTCAAAGTAAAAGAGAGAAATTAAACAGCAGGTTCCAGATGTGGTAGGCCAAAGCTTTTTAAGCTGGAGTCCATGAACTTGTAAAAAAAAATACATATGCACACATACACACTTATAAGATTTTTATTTCAATATATTTGATTTCCTTTTGTGATCCTATATATTTTATGTTTTTAATATTTTATTTTATACATTTAAGAACCTTATTCTGAGAAGGGGTCTATAGGCCTCACTAGATTTCCACACAAAGGTTAAAGG